CCAGGTAAGATTCTTGGCACCCCATTTTAGTCTCCCATCCAATTTCTGACCTGGTCCCATCCTTCTTAGCTTTTGGAGAACAGACACAGTGATGCCCTGACCAAACCGAATGTTTCGTGCCCCTTTTTTCCCCTTACAAACAGGAATGTCGTCCATGCCAGCGACTCGGTGGAGACGGCGCAGCGAGAAATCAGTCTTTGGTTTCGCAGCAACGAGCTGATTGACTGGGATTGTTGTGATCACAAGGTCATGTATGAACCATGACGTGGCCTCTCCCATTTCCGGACATGGGATCTACTACCTCGGGCTCACTCACTTATTGCCTTCCTGGAAGATCGGGTGTTTTTCAGCCTGTGCATCACAGGTTTAAATCTCGGGGGTCTTTGAGAGGAGGCGAACCATGTGCCAAGACTTTGCTCAAGGCAGAAGACTGTGCCAGGCCTCTTCCAATGCCCGTGTTTTGCCAGCTGTCCAGGACCGTGCTGTTATTTTCGAGGAGTACGGTTCTTAATGGGGTATTCATTAAAAAGAAATCAATTTTAATTTTGGGGGTATTTCTAACATTGTGTTGGGAAGGAAGGTCTCGTTTTATCTTCACCTGTAGCCTGCTGGCGTTGCAACACTCCAGTACACACACAAACCCCCAACACACACCAAATATTTAATTTCTTCTGCCATCATTGTGAGTGGATGAAAGGTCCGCCTTGACTTATCTGGACTGCCAGGATAAGAAAAAAAATTAGTTTTTTCCCTTAATTCTTATTCACCCTCTCTCTAGGAGAAAGTGGGCTTCAGGAGTGGGGCATGTATCACAGGGATATTTATTAAGATGAAGAAAGTATTTGAATGGCTGTTTTTTAATTAAAGAAGAAAGTATTAATACTTTATCTGCAATCTTTCCCTCCCTCCCTTTTCTTTCCTTCCTCTCTTCCCTCCTTTCCTTTCTTCTCTTTTCCTTTCCTTTCCTTCTCCCTCCTTCCCTTCCCTTCCCTTCTCCTTTCCTTTCCTTTCCTTTCCTTTCTTTCCTTCTCCTTCCTTCCCTTCCCTTTCCTTCCCTTCCCTTCTCCTTTCCTTTCCTTTCCCTTCCTTCCCTTCCTTCCTTTTCCTTTCCTTCCTTTCCTTTCCTTTCCTTTCCTTTCCTTTCCTTCCCTTTCCTTTCCTTTCCTTCTCCTTCCTTTCCTTCCCTTTCCTTCCCTTCTCCTTTCCTTTCCTTTCCTTCTCCCTTCCTTCCCTTCCCTTCCCTTCCCTTTTCCTTTCCTTTCTTTCCTTCCTTCCCTTCCCTTCCCTTCCTTCCCTTCCCTTCCCTTCCCTTCCCTTCCCTCCCTTTTCCCTTCCTTCCCTTTCCTTCTCTTCTCTTTCCTTCCCTTCCCTTCCTTTCCCTTCCTTTCCTTCTCTCTTCCTTTCCTTTCCTTCCCTTCCCTTTTCTTTCCAGCAGAGCACAGTTCAGTTATCCTCTGAATTAGATTTAGTAAGGGTTTGTTTTGTTTTAAATCAGACTTTTTTTAACCTATCAATTCCTGCTGGAAACTGATTTAGCGGTCTCTCTTTTCCATGGTCCTTATTCTCCTGTCGGTTTCATCATCAGTTTCCCTGAAAACCTGATCTAATCAGTTTCACAGTCTCTTGGACAGTTTTTCAAAGCTGATACAAAGTTCCCAGCTTCATCCACCCCACCCCACCCCAACCGGTTTGTATAAGGACCATGTATCTTCTGCAGCATCATCATCCCACCACAAATACAACTGGTACTACAGCATTAAAATATACCATATCTAGAAGGAACAGTTTGGCTAGTGCTTAAAGTTGCAGGCTAGAAACCAGGAGACAGTGAGTTCTAGTCCTGCTTAGGCATGAAAACTAGCTGGGTGACTTTGGGCCAATCACCAGGAGACTGGGAGTTCTAGTCCCACTTTAGGCACGAAAGCCAGCTGGGTGACTTTGGGCCAATCACCAGGAGACTGGGAGTTCTAGTCCCACCTTAGGCACGAAAGCCAGCTGGGTGACTTTGGGCCAATCACCAGGAGACTGGAAGTTCTAGTCCCACCTTAGGCACGAAAGCCAGCTGGGTGACTTTGGGCCAATCACCAGGAGACTGGGAATTCTAGTCCCACTTTAGGCATGAAAGCCAGCTGGGTGACTTTGGGCCAATCACCAGGAGACTGGGCGTTCTAGTCCCCCCTTAGGCACGAAAGCAGCTGGGTGACTTTCGGTCAATCACCAGAAGACTGGGAGTTCTAGTCCCACTTTAGGCACGAAAGCCAGCTGGGTGACTTTGGGCCAATCACCAGGAGACTGGGAGTTCTAGTCCCACTTTAGCCATGAAAGCCAGCTGGGTGACTTTGGGCCAATCACCAGGAGACTGGGAGTTCTAGTTCCACCTTAGACATAAGAGCCAGCTGGGTAGTTTGAGCCAGTCCCTTTCTCTCAGCCCAATTCACCTCACAGGTTGTTGTTGTTGTGGGGAAAACAAGAGTAGGAAGGAGTTAGATCTTAGATACCTTCAGCATCTTGTGTGATTTATAAACTAATAGGTGGGATTAAAAAACATCTAAATAAAAACTAAATAAATTACAGAAGACCCCATTTTCAAAACTCACAAAAGCCAAGCAAATAAGAGAGAAAACAGCTTTCCGCTGACAGGATGCCTTCATGCAGATTCACCTCAACACCTGACCCAGGCATTGGATGTTAGGTACCATAAACCATCAAACAGATGTGTTCTGTTGCTGTCTTCAGTTTTGAGTCACAAGGGGCAAAAGTCACATTCCAGGAAACCCGTCTCCGTTCCAAAAGCTTTACTTACCTGGGGTCACCTAGGGCAAAAAGAACCCAACCCAAATCAGTCCTTCCAGAGGTTAGAAATTATGGGTCACGCTAGTTTACTTCAGGGTGGATAAAAAGCAATGATTTTTTTAAAAAATAAAAAAATTCAGATTTTTTTGATTTAAATCGGATTTTTTTGATTTTTATCAAATTTATTTTAATGAAAAACTTTTGGGGTAAAAATCTATCGTAAGATAGTTTTCTATTTAAGATACATAAATAATTCAGTTTATTCAGCATGAAATGGAGCTTAGTTATGTAGCAGGAGGCTGTATATTCTGCAACACTGGGACTATCGGTGAGTCAACAGCGGGTCAAAGGAATAGCAGAGATGACAGTTGCTCTTTAAAAATTATGATTTAAATCAAGTTGATTTAAATCAAGCCTTTTTACTAGTGATTTAAATCATGATTTAAATTGTGATTTAAATCAACTCGATTTAAGTCAAATCCACCCTGGTTTACTTTAGCTTCCTCGCCGGAGAGGAGAATGGGGTAAGTAAAAGGGCTCCATTTACAAAGCTGGCGTGGACATTTGCATCAGTCAGACTCAAATTCCTTCTCCTACAGGAAAAAAAAAAAAATAGAAATGGAAGAAAGTCCTTAAAAAAATAATAATAATGTTGAGATGAAAACTTGCATCCCATGATATTCATAAACGAGAAGGTCACATGAAAACCACTAAAGAGAGGAAAAAAAGACAACTTTCAGAGCTGGTAACAAAACGGCTGATTTGCAATTGTGCGCCGTGAGAGAACATCGGGGCGAGGGCAGAGGTGGGTTTCAGCAGGTTCTAACCAGTTCTGGGAGAACTGATAGTGGAAATTTTGAGTAGTTCGGAGAACCAGTAGTAAAAATTCTGACTGGCCCCGCCCCCATCTATTCTCTGCCTCCCAAGTCCCAGCTGATCAGGAGGAAATGGAGATTTTACAGTATCTTTCCCCTGGGGTGGGATGGGAATGGAGATTTTACAGTATCCTTCCCCTGGAGTGGGGTGGGAATGGGGGTTTTGCAGTATCCTTCCCCTGGAGTGGGGTGGGAGTGGAGATTTTGCAATATCCTTCCCCCAGAAGTGGGGAGGGAATGGGGATTTTGCAGTATCCTTCCCCCTGGAGTGGGGTGGGAATGGGGATTTTGCAATATCCTTCCCTTGCCAGCCCACCAAGCCACACCACGCCCACAGAACCAGTAGTAAAAGAATTTGGATTTCACCACTGTGTGGGCTCTGCTGGATTAAGATGGAAAAAAAATATCGCCCACGCAGTTAAGGATGATGTGAAACTGATTCTTGCATAGACTGGGCATACGATTTGAGTTATCAACCTTATCATAAATACAATAATAAATCTAATATTTAATATAATAACGGTAAATTTAATAAAATGTTAAAAAGGTGGGATAAAAAGCAAATAAATAATACACAAATGAGATTAAGGCAGCACTACAGGGACAAGATAGAAAGAGATTGCCATGTGGGTGTGTTTGTCCTTGGATGGAAGTGCTGAGTGGAATCAAGGTCAAATGTTTGCTTGTCTCAGCAACACCCTCCATTTCGAAAGCTCGTTTCAGATGTCCTTGTTTCCACGCTACCTGTTTGCACCTGAACTTTGTCTTGCAATACTTTCTTCTTTCTGCTTCTGGACACATTTCTTTAAATATATAAAC